GTTGTTGCTTTCGGCACTGGTGCTATGATGTTTGCCACATTTTTTGCTACGTTGTCTTGCTCATATGCGACTGTGCTCAGGTTTTGTTCTTTATGTGTTTGTTCGCTGTCCGACGTAGAGCTGAATGTTTCTCTTTTCAGGCAACGCACGTTTCAAACGCCTGCTGGATTCTGCCTCTTAGGCATTTGGGCGAGGTTGTTCTCTGCACGTAAGCCTGAGTCATCCGATGAGGTGCTCAAACTGATTTCCAGTGCACGAGTACTGGTCACCGACAAGAAGTACGAAGAAGCTGCAGAAGTTCTGCACGAAGCTTTGAAAAAGGCACAAGAACAAAACGACCAGAACGCGATCAATTATATATATGACTTTCTAGCCAACATTTACTACTACTTAGGCGACCTGGAAAAAGCCAAGGCGGTGTTCATCGACCTAATGAGTCGTCTTTTATCTAGCGGCACGCCGAAAACCGACTGTTCGATTGTTGAAATTTCCTTGAAACTAGCTGACATCTACGTCCAGGAAGGAGATCTTGAAAAGGCGGAGGCCGGCTTTAAGTTCTGTGTGGAAACCCAGAAGCGTAATGTCGAGCAAGCGGAGCAAGCTTTTGCCAAACAGTGGATAAAGATCACCGCGATATTGATGTAACTTTATGTTAAATTAACTTTTTCTTTACCATCGCGGTTCCTACAAGTACTTCCGCCTTAGCGAAGTTGGACTGAATTAGCAGTCAGCCTTGAGGAATCGCTCATTCTAAGAAGAAGGCAGCGGCCCGTTTACTGTGACGCTTGTAAGCAGCGCTTGCACATATGCTCAAAAGTGTAACTTTTACTGCATTAATTGACAAAGTGCAACAGCAAGTCCACTACTAGGATATTTTTCATTTCGGTAAATACTGCACTGGATCTGTAAAAGATGACAGCAAAATCCAAATTGTAGTTCAGCATTATGCAGCTGTTTACTGGTACCTCCTAAAACATCTACACGGTGTTTAACCCGTTCCTTGTTTTGACTTTCTTAATATAATACACAGTAGCTGTTATCCTCTACGCAGAGCAGTTAAGATGTGGGTATAATTTTGGGTGAAGTTTTATCACGGGATTTCCATAATCTTAATCATTTAGTTGTTGCTGATTATATTCTTTCATTGAAGATATTTTTTTTCTCTGATTCCTTATGTGATCCATCTGTCGTCTTCTGAGCCTTCTGAAGCTAACCTTTAAGTTTTAATTCTCTGCTCTGCGGATTACTAGCGGCCGAAGATTTCCATTTTTCCATCTGAAGATATAGACGGTTTTATTTTCTTAGACGGATCAGCTTTAAAGGTATCAAGAAGTCTGTTAGCCGATCAGTACCATTGCCTCCTGCCACGATCGGTTCGGTACTCATGATATATCTTCAAACTGCGGAAATTTTACTCAGTTTAAACTTTGTTCTTGCATGTCATTCGGTAGTTCTGTAATTGCTCGTTTGACGTCGATGCTGCAGTTGATCTTACAGAAGAAAATGACCCTTATTACTGGCTGAATATTGTGTATCAGCCTTGTCAGAGAGTGGATCATTAATGAAATCGACGGCCTCTGTAAAGTCGGTGGTGCCAAAGTAAGCAAAAACGATATTGAGCTCTGGCACCTCGTCTTTCTGTTCTCTCGAACATCCGTCTTAACATATCTTTCCGCAAACTTCAAAAGTTACTGGCACGTTTCCAGCTGCTACCTTTTATTTTTTCGATTTGGCGCCTAGAATATTGTAACTGATTGTGATAGCAGAACTTGGCTACAGCTGGCAAAAATGGAGAAAAATCATAGACATGATTAACAATTCTTATCTGATCTCCAGTCCAGTGGCTCACTACGCAACATTTTTGTTTTTACCTCTCTCAAAAGCTCTGTCCCCCGTAAATATGTATATAAGAACAGAGCACGGCGTTTTATGTATACCGTATGCACAGGTGAAAATTCTCTCCACGCTGAATTGCGATTATGCACTATATAAGAAGATTATCGACATCCAAATGTGCGTTCCTTTTTTTCATAGCCTCATTCCAACTTCCTGTAAAGCAGCAGTTTTGAGAGACCTTACCTGTCACCCCGGCCCCTCACAATCAAGGGATTTAAGCAACGTGTATTTTAAGGCCCGAAAGTGCCAGGCGCATTATATACTGGAGCCATTTGACAGTAAATCTGTTCACATCTGTCTTGTGAGTGTGAAAACAGTTCTTCTAACGACTCTCCGTTGTCATTCTGATCACTTACCCTAATACCTTAGTAGTACGATCTTTTATTCTAGCGAAGCATCAATTCATAGCTGATTGACTCTTGTCTTTTGTTTAAATCTTGTCCTGATCCCAATAATCTGTTGAAGGAAGGTTATTTCTGCCTCCTTTGTCCGTGATCCTATACTTTCGTTCAATATACGCCATTTGTGGCATCGGTTGTGCACAGACTTGAAGGCAGAAGAGCGTTCACATTGTTGCTGAGCTTCTTCGTTTTTCACCACAGATCGGTTTAGCGTCCTTATGGCTGCGCTCGTCTGACCGATTTGATGTAGCTATTTCTGGAATTTGCTTGCTGTAGCTGGTGAATGATACCCTGATATATTTGCTTGCTGTTCTTAATATGCATTCCACTAACCAGAGAACAGCATCGAATTCCTCTCTGGTCTTTCACCATGCATACAAAAGCTGTGGTTTTTTCAGGCTGATCTTCAGCCGGGCTTCGTTGCATGTGGCCGTGAGCTGATCAAGGTGCTGGATTTAGAACATCCTCCGAGTATTCCCACCATCCCTGGCAAATATGTTCTTCGGTGGTTTAGACAGTTTGCATCTGAATTTTTTGGCAGCCGGAACAGTACTTAAACTTCGCCATACGGACAGTGATGAACTTGCCTGTTTATTTTGTTTTCCAGTCGGTAATCAGAGTTCAGTGACGGTGACTAATGTCATCGTCCATAGAGTGCACTGGCATTATGAATGTACAAAGTGTTACTGTATCGGATTTTCAGGTTTTTGCCATTCGAGTAACACGAAGGATGCTAATTTCTTTCACTCCTCAGAGTACACCGGTTAAGCATCATCCAGTTCATTTTTAGACGTGCTTAAGTATTGTCATTTTCCGTTCTGGGGAGTGCAAGTGACAGCTGTTGCCGTGATTTCTTTTGGAGATTGATAACTGATGAACCTCCGTTCTCTTCGTTTGATTTGTAATTAGGCCGTCTTTCTCATAGAGAGAAGTACTTCAAAAAGCAAGAAGAACATTATCGATTCCTGCTACTGTTGCCTTTTTAGCCGACTGATGGTGGTTCGTTTGTTATCGCTCTTTCACCATGTTACAGTTTCATGGAATGTCAACAAATCTTTGTCCGCTTTAGTCAGCAGTGGTACGGCGGCGGTATAATGGTCCTCGGAAGTTGCGATCAGCTGGCTATGTGAATTAAATCTTGAATTATGGTGAATGCATAGTTATGTTATGGAAAATTGCTGTTGATCCACAGTAACTAACATAAGAGCGCCATTTACGAATGACTGCAAGAGGTTACTGTGGAATGATATGGCGATGGACGATTTCAGTACCTCGAAACAGTGTTAGCTGATTATGGCAGCATTAATTCTACAGTGAACCGGCGCATTGCACTGGCATCAGCAGATTTGTGCCAGTTCTCTAGCGTGTGGAAAGATCGAACTATGGAAACGGCCATGAAGATCACCTTTAAAGCAACTGCATTTGCGATGCTGAATTACGGTGTGGTGGCATCTACTCCTCCTAAAGATTGCTTCAAACAACGTTGCCTGCGGAGCATTCGCAGGTGCCATGGTATTAGCGGATTTCAGAGTCAAGCGCCTGGCGTGGAATGATAAAACGGCCCAAAAGTGATATGAAATTTGCTCAAACGTACCTCATTTCAACCGTCAGCTAGCCGTTGACACGTTCGGTAAAAGTATAAATGCTGAGATTCTCTCTTTGAAAGAGGTGCTTGACAACTATTATATGACGTTTGCCGGACTGCGAACGTTTGCTGATATTAGTCTGAGGTGCCATTTCTGAATGACATAATCGATTTTGCTACTCTGTTATTCACGTTTTATTATCCTTAGGTGTCGATTATCTTAGCGCAAAAGTTTCGAATAGTAATTTCTTAAACTGATGCGGAAGAAAAATACCATTTTTTAACTGAGAGGTACCTGCTTGTTTTTCTTCACATTATCGAGTAGTAATGAGCAAATAACAAAGAAAGAACTTATAATAAATAGCTTTTTGTGTTTAACTTTTTAAATTTGACACACGTTCTAGTTTAAGGAAGCTTCCTGACTTGCTGCTGTTGTAAACATAGTAATTAGCTTGAAATTTAACTTTTAGGCCAGAAAGTCAGGCGAGAGATCAAGAATCAATCGACATCTACGCGTTGTACGGAATGGTTTTGGAGACCTACGCAGGTTTCCTAGTCTCAACCAGTCGTGTCGAGGAGGGCGTCGAATGCATAAATCGAGCACTGGAACTTGCACGAGAAGTCTACAGTCCTCTGCACCCGCAGATCGTGACGATTCTGAACAATTTCGGCTGCAAATGCTTACAGCACCGCCATTTCGAAACGGCTAAGCGATACATCAGCGAGGCGGTTAAGCGCGCGCAGATGATATCCGAGTTGGCCCACCGGCTTCCCAGCTATTACTGCAACTATGCTGAGGCGTTATGGCACTGCGGTGAGCAAGCGCTAGCCTTAGAAACCACTAAAAAGGCGGCAAAAGTCGCTGAAGAACTGAAAGACGAGGAGACTTTAAGTCGTGTAAATGAATATCTAGCAAGCTTGGTCGCTGACGTATCTCGATAGTAAACATCTTCTGTACTTGGTTTCTGAATTGCTGTGATTTTCTCTTTTTGCAGATCGATACACACATCTTTACAGTGATTGCTGAGATAGGTTGTAAGTACTCCGTCATTTTGAATGGCAGAGAGACCCAGACTTATGTAACGGGTTTACACTAACTACCCTGAAAGGGCCATGAAAAAAATTTTGAATTATAAATATTTTACCTAATGTGCCTTCAATAGTCTGTTTACTGTTGAATACGGACGTGCTATGTGTTTGTATTCATGCACTTTAATAATTTTTGATATTTGCGTGTGCTGCGGTAGAGTATAATCATGACTGAACCAGCGGAACCAATGTGTAAATGCACCAAAACTGATCTAGAGATAAAATGAAATTTATAGAAAAATATGGAGGACTAAATATCGCAGTCATGGGACATGATCATGATCCCGCACTTTAACTGTGAATATGCCTGTGGTAGATACAGCCCGAGAGAAATGTTAAATGGTCGGCTCTTTTTGAAGTCAACAATAATGAAAGTGCCTTATGCTATTTTTGTCATGGAAAAATTGGTAACTCTGTGGATCGCGGACCAAATCCAAAAATGTGTTTTGCTTAGTTTAGTCAAGATTGAGACAAGGGCAAGAACTTTCAAGGACAATCAGTATATCAGACAGTTTTCAACTAAAAGAAATGGCATTTGAACATATTTATGCAGTATTGCGTATAAGTACTCCAAACAAGTCAGCAATGTGGGGTGGGTTACATCCATAAAATTTTTTATATATGTGTTTGCGGAACTTTGCATCATTCGTAGTCTGTAGTTCTAAAGATTTCTTATTAGTGAATAAAGTAAAAATCGTACTTGTAATTGCAATAACGGGGTAAAACGTCATATAGGAACGCATGATGTTCTTTAAGATGCACTATTAACAATTATGGAAGAGTCGAAACATTAGAAATAACTTTATGTGCCTTAAGATTAATGCCAATACAATATATGATAAACATTTGAAAAAGTGTATTCAACGCAGAAGCAATCCTATGCCCAACTTATCTGCGTTGTAGCCAGTGTCATTCCCGGTCATTAGTCAAGTCACTATTTTTGAATGTGTCATTTGACGACGCCCGATCAGAAGCGTGCATGGAGAGATGCATGTCACAGTAATGAATCAACTTGGTTATAACGTTAGTGCCCAAATCCCTATGGTTGTATCTTTAGAACGCTGTCAGTCCGATAAAGAAAGTGACGTATTAACTATTCAACTCAACCTATTCACTTTTCTAAGCTCAATCAGCTGCTGGTTATTTAAATCTAGTCGAGTAAATTAAGCACAAGTACAAAATCTTTGGCCGTACATTTTAGCGCAGATTATGCTTGTCGGGTACTAGCGTTTTATTTATTTGTAAAGCAACGTTATTACGTCAATGTTTATAGTCATTTACGAAAGTAGAATCGAAAAATCACAAATGCGGGGCAGGTCGTTTCATTTCAGAGGGCAAAGCTAAGTAGCAACTATTATGGCAAGTTAAAAGAGTTTCACAATTTGTAAATTCATTCCTACATCGTGAACAGTACGCACATAATTAAATTTATAAAATTAGTTATGATTTTATGCCGATGGTTTCATGAAAACTATTCAGATGGAATGGTGAATGGCAAAACTTTTATGGAAATCATATTGCTTGCACCGTCTGTTCGAATATACAAAATGTATTTCAGTGTAAGGGCAGGAAGACAATCCCATATGGGCAAAAGGTTATTGCGGTCAAAACATATCAGTTAAAGTAAAAAATTTTACTAAACTGGATGAAGTATTCAAATGCCCATTTCAGTGTTCAGATGAGGAATACTACCGATTTTTATTAAAATGCAAAATAAATAAATAGTAGAGTGAAATTAACTACGTTTATATGCTTCGAATTCAATACGTCAAAAATTCGTGCAAATTAATAAATGGCAAGCGCAGTGAGTTAACTTCTTTTGTTCTGGATATGTGCATTAACTAAAACTAACTGAAGCAGACGACGATGGTCAAAGGCAGACGCTGTAAATTAGTATAGTCGAATTAACGGTTCCCCTCAATCAAGTAATTTTAGCATCTTGGTCGATTTTTGATTATTTCGTTAAGCTTCCATGTGAGCGTTTTCTCTCCAATGAATCGAATTCTCGGACAGTTGCTCACCTTTCAACGTTTCTTTTATTCATTCGTTTTCACAGCCCAAAATAATTCTCGAGTTGTAGGAACAGAAAATTCAAGAGCCTTTTCAATGGTGATTGGATTTGAAGGCGCGATCATGTAAGAGCTTAACATGCCTCTGATCTTTCCATTAAAAGCCATTCTTGTAGCATTTAGAGGAAGGTTCATCATACAACTCTGTCATTGGGCTTTTTGATTTCTGGCCAAAACGAATTTACCTAGGGAACCATAAGGCGTACCATAATTTGTCGAAACCTGGGTGTAACAAATGAACAAATTCATAACAAGCTGAGAAAAGTGGATTCATACCAGGATAATAGGCTGGCCAGAATCTTGCGAAATAATTGTTCTTCTTTCTTCTGATCGCTCAAATATCGGGCAGAGAGTGGAACAAATAACCTTCGGCAGTCTAACACCTCGGCTTGTATTTCACGACGGACCATCGCAGATCGTCTTTGCTTAATTTCGATTTCTCAGGAAAGTTTGCACACCAGTTAAAGTCGATTGACGTTTCTGTACCACCGCCAAGTCACTTAACTTTCCCGAGATAATCAAGGCGATAACAAACGATGTGCTAATCCATTATGTCCATAGTCTATCTATTGTAGTCAAGTTTCTTGTAAGAGAATGGTTGATGTAGCTGAAAATTGACGCGGCATGAAGCACCTTCATTTCATCGAATTTTGGCGATATGCTGAGGCAATTTTGGAAACTACCGCTGAAAACGACGGGAGTTCTTTCTGCAGCAGTTTGCCATGCGCTTCTTTACCATGTTTGGTCCTTTGAACACTTCCACAATATGTCATAGGAGTAAGAAACAAGCAACAACGAATCCAGGCGTTGGCACGTGACTGTAGCTGAATGCACACGACTTTGACACGAACACGACGTCAGTATCATGAATGCAGGTAACTGATGTTGAAGAGAGTCTTCGGCACAGTTCCAAGCACTTCTCCTTATTCATCCAGACTTAGGACTGGCGATGACGGATTTAGCGATCGCTCAACAACGGAAAAGCGATTCATAAGCAAGGGCAAGGTCATCATGTTCTAAATCTTGTAGAGTCTTGTTACAGTATAAATCCTTCGTAGGAACCTCACTGCTGCTGTCTGAATTCAGGATAACGTTCTTCCTCTCAATATGCAGAATTTATAACTATAAGTGAAGGTAGGTACTTAAACAGGCTAAGTAGCGCTACTGCTCAACTATTTCTTCGTCACGAAGAAAGCACGCTTATACACTACTGTTCTAAATTTTCAAACTCCTTCGTTTACATTAAATGCTCTTTACTCATTTGCAGCGAATGTCGTGTATTTTGTCTCAATAGCTGAATGCAACAGTCGCTGTTTTGCATCCCAGCCTCATCGCATTCAGCTATATAGTTGTAAAGTGTAAAATGGTCATGACAGAAACCTAACCTGAACGGATCAGCTGCAAAACAAAAAAGACTCGTGCGAACATCACCAGCTCTATCACACCTCATGGTCTAAGTTGCATCTGCTGATAAATCTTGTCCTTAAGGGTTTTGACAGCAAACTGAGAAAATCGGCATTGCCTATGTATTCCAACAAGCATTATGAATTACAATTAATTTCCTGTCGTTATGCCATTGAAAGGACTCTGATCAGTTACAGAGGGATTTAATTATCCTCACTAAGTGTCAGCTTATTCACTGTTGTTGCAGTACTGTTCACAGTTTTGACTGGGACAGCATGCTGGAGGCTTCCCAGGGATTCCAAGTAAGCATAAACCTTGCTTGCACATTCGCAGCCTTTTCAGCAGATCGTGCAAAATATAAAGATCTGATCCAGTTCACTGTAGCCGGGACTAATATAACACCATTAATCCGGCACTCTGCACTCCACATGTTCTGGGTATACAACTTCAGCGGACTTTACTGAAAAGACTGAGCAGAAAAATGACAGGCAGTCATTGCAATATCTCTTGACCATCAGGATCAGGACACCTCCGCGGAGTTGGCAACGTTAGACTTAGTCTTTAAGGGCATGGATTCGAATTCCGGCAGAGTAAACTTGCCCATTTACTTTTTTGAGTGTAGATGTCTAAATGCGCATTATGTGGGAAAGAAGTAGGAGGAAGTTTGTTGCAGACATTGCCTGGTAAAACACATGGTACTCTCAGCTAATGCCACATCGATGGAGAACAGCGCTGCACCATAAGCCGCTTGAGAAACAGGGTTTTAAAGATTACGCGAGAAAACGGAAGACTGACATAGTAACAGCTGAAATTTTCATTTCATCTTCTTCTTCATCTTCCATCGCCGCA